CCCGTCAACGAGTTGCTTCACTTGGAAAGCTGTGCAGGTCAAAAGTCATCCAATTGGTGCGGCATAGCGATCTCTTTTTCAACACCCTATCCAACATCGTTGACCGCGCCCAAAATACATCGCAATGGCAATCACCAAATCTTCCTCCATTTTGATTGTTGGTGCGGGCACCTGGGGCTGCTCTACTGCCCTACACCTGGCTCGCAGGGGCTACACCAATGTGACTGTCCTGGATCCTTACCCTGTCCCCTCCGCTATTTCTGCAGGAAACGACGTCAACAAAGTCATTTCTTCCGGCCAATACAGCAACAGAAAAGATGAGATTGAGGTGAACGAACTCCTGGGAGAACAAGCGTTCCAAGGATGGAAGAACGACCCTCTCTTCCAGCCCTACTACCACGATGTCGGCCTCCTCATGTCGGCGTGCACATCAGCTGGCCTGGACCGCCTTGGTGTCCGAGTAAGGCCCGAAGCCGACCCGAACTTGGTGGAGATGTCGCGGCCAGAACAATTTCGTGATCTTGCTCCTGCTGTGCTCAAGGGAGATTTCCCTGGGTGGAAGGGTTACTTTCTTCGCTCCGGTGCCGGCTGGGCTCATGCCCGGAATGCTCTCGTCGCTGCCGCCAGGGAAGCACAGAGACTTGGTGTCAAGTTCGTTGCTGGTTCACCGGCAGGCAGAGTCATCACCCTTATTTTCGAGAACAATGATGTGAAAGGTGCCGTTACTGCCGATGGCAAAATCTGGCGTGCGGAGCAGACGATCCTGTGTGCTGGTGCAAGTGCCGGGCAGTTCTTGGACTTCAAGGACCAGCTGCGCCCAACTGCTTGGACGCTTGTACATATCGCTCTGAAGCCTGAGGAGCGCGCACAATACAAGAACATGCCCGTCATCTTCAATATTGAAAAGGGCTTCTTCTTTGAGCCGGATGAGGAGCGCGGGGAGATCAAGATCTGCGATGAGCATCCCGGATATACAAACATGGTCCGATCACAAGATGGGAAGCTGCAAAGTCTTCCCTTCGAGAAGACACAAGTGCCCCTGGAGTCCGAGAAGAGAGTTCGCGCTCTTCTCAGAGAAACTGTGCCTCAATTGGCAGACCGTCCGTTCAGCTTCGCGAGAATCTGCTGGTGTGCAGACACCGCGAACCGCGAATTCATCATTGACCGTCACCCACAGCACAAATCACTGATTCTGGGATGTGGTGCTTCTGGCAGAGGTAAGACGCCACGCCATGGCCCCAAACAAGATGCGTTCTCATTACTAACGCGCACCTTTAATAGGCTACAAATACCTACCGTCCATCGGGAGTCTGATTGTCGATGCCATGGAGGGTAAAGTTCCTCAGAAGGTCCACGATCTCATCAAATGGAGCCCAGAGATTGCTTCGGATAGAAACTGGAGCGACACTCTGGGACGATTTGGAGGCCCCAACAAGGTGATGGACTTCCACGATGTCAAGGAATGGACCAGTGTACAGCATAGGGACATTTCCAAATTGTAAGAATAGGTATGAGTAATGAATATCCAAAATTGACAACATTGAGCGCACAATACAATAAAATCTCTACTATAAGGGCGAGCGTCCAAAGTAACGGTACATCAACAACACAAAAATCTAGGGTATCACAGAAAGAAACAGGATGGTGAAAATGTGGCAAATGACATCTACCTCTAGGAGGATGTAGATTCTGCAAGTTGATATGACTCTCGAGCATCCCACTGACGCGCAACAGATGCTGAGCCCGGAAGCTGCTGTTCCTCATCACCAGGCAGTTTGGAGAATCCATCTGGTCCGATGATATCGTCTCTCCCATATGGGCAGTCGCAGGTTACTGACCGAAGCGCTGGATAATAGCGTCGGTACGAGAAATAGGCTACCATCATCCCAAGTAGCGATCCACAAGTAACATCATATACATCGTGGCGGTAGTCGTCCAGGCGAGAGATAGCAACTAACAAAGCGCAGAGAAGGGGAGCAAATGCCACGAGGCAGCGACAGAGGTCGGTCCTCGGTCTGAACACGTGCATTTGACCGGAAAGGAACCTGGGTAAGCGATTAGCGTTGTTCTATGTGTTGTCGCGACATACAAGCTTACAGTGACATATAACCGAGCCCACCAAATGAGAAGCTACTGTGGCCACTGGGGAAACTCCTCCATCCTTCTTGGAGGATGTGCTCGTTGGTTTGAGTGCACACCGTCCATGAGACCAGCAAGTCCTTGGGGGTCCCTTTTCTTGGTAGACAGCGAGAAATTAGATCAGGGCGAGGTCGGCCAGCGGCATTCTTGATAATGTCGGTAATAAGGCTCGTTAGCATAAGCGCGATGAGGAAGCCCAGCAAGGTCACTTGGACCTTGTGAGGATAGGGACGGAACACGGCTGCCCAGGCGAGGAGGACGAGGAACGGAATGACGCCAGCATAAATGATAGACCAAACTGTAAATCGATAGTAAGCATCGAGGTAAATTCGGCGTTGCTGGGGCAGGGTGCAGTATCTCACCGACTGGAACTCTCTCCACAACAGCGAAGGGATACTGGATACTTTTATTATCGAGGGAGAACATGCGATGAAATGGGGTCGCAAATATCTGAATCTGCAAGGAACGTTCTTATTAGTGCATTAACCACACGAGAGGCAGGTCTGAAGGCGTACCAGTATCCAAGCAGCTACAATGCACGCCAGCGCGACAGCGTCGACGACCGGGTACGAGCGCTGATACAAGCGGGACATTGTGCTAGTTGCTTCTCTCACAGGAGAGCGGGGGCTTGCTGAGCCAGCAGCAAGTCCACTGCGAGGCATTTTGTGGCGCTCAGTTCGAATCTACAGCACTCATGAGAAACCAGCGAAGAGTCAGCGCCTGGCTGGATAGAGAGGTGGGAAGTTGCGCAACGGAGGCCGTAGTTGGTGGATGGTGAACAAGAGCAAGTGGCCGCCTGGCATGAGCACGGGCCAACAACACCGGACTTCTCCGCATTGCGCCGACTCGACTGTCCACATTCTTTCCTGCATTCACCTCTTGATCTCGTGTCCGTCGCGTGCTACCAACTACCAACTACCCCGACTTAATTATCGCACCATAGCTGTCAATTCCACGAGAATATCATGGCCGACGCCGCACAACAACGGACGCTCGCGACTGCCTTTGCCCCGCCGCCTCCGCTATGGAAACACTTCACGCCCGATAATCTGAAGAGGCTCGAGGAGGTCAAGAAAGAGGCATCCAAAGGCGAGGACGGAAAACCGCAGAAAAAGAAGTGGTCACCTGCCCAATTGCGCGCTCTCGATCTGCCACCAGAGCTTCGGCTTCTCGTCCCACCAGCGATCCCTGACTCCGGTCATTACAGCGTGTTCGGAGAGCTTCAGAACGTAAGTTTTTGATCATTGCCTCGCTGTAACTTTGCTAATTACACATCACCACAGCTTTCAACTGCTTTACCGTCCCTGAAAGATCAAGGCATCACCCAGCTGTACCCGTCCTCGTCTCCGGCAGATACCGACCGTCAATCGCCCTCGGAGCCATCCCGGCCGCTCAACCACGCATACTACCTCCTCAAAATAAGCAAATCTCTCCTTCTAAACTTTCTCGAATTTGTCGGCGTTCTATCCGTATCTCCGGAGCAGTTTGAATCCAAAGTGGAGGACCTGCGCAACCTCTTCATCAACGCACACCATCTCCTGAACTTGTACAGACCACACCAAGCTAGGGAATCCCTAATCATGATGATGGAAGAGCAATTGAGTCGAACCAAGGAAGAAATTCAGCAGATGGACAAACTGAAAGCCGAGATCACGGGTGTTCTAGAACGGTTGGAAGCAGATGGCAACGCTGCGCAGTCACATCCCCAGCAGACCGATGAGGACGGTGAAAAGGATTCGGAAACAAGTCAAAAGACCATCGAAGACGCACGGTTAATATGGGATCTCCTGGACGGGAAGATTGAGGGTTGAAGGTCGCGAGTGCCGATAACCTCATGCTCATCCGGAAACCACCAACAAGAGAGCCATTAGCTTCTGCTACATCACCTGCCAATCTACAGCCAAGTTGCAGATCAGGACCATGTCAGTACTCGTGGAAATATGACCGAATTGCGAAATTTACGAGCTATACGTCTATACTGTCGCGACCAAGTCTGGACTGAGTCCGCTCAACAAAGATCGGCAATCAAGCCAAATACAGGCAAACACAGTCCACAGTGACCAATGCCCAAGCATCCAAACATTACATACGCGCTTCACGGGCACCACAGACCGGAAAGCATCCACTTTTCGATACCCATAAATTCCACAATGCGGTCGGGAACAACATGGTTCCGTGAAGATCACGTGTGGCGCTAACGGCACGCGTTTAAATTCTCACCAAATTTTCTCCCGCAACTTTTCTTCACGCATTCAACAACGAAGATTCGACAATGGCCAAGCAAGTTCTTTGAGGACTGAGCGGTATTGGAAAGCTTAATGATGCTTCACATGCTACTCAACCTTTAGGTCCAGCTTATGGCTCAATTGACATTCACAAGAGTATTGGTAAGTCGAGCAATATGTCTCCTGCTTTGGCTTATATGATGATTTGCGTATTATCTTTGTTTCAACCCCATCTGAAAGTACAAATTTGTACTCTTTGATTATAACTGCGCATATAATATCTGAAATAAGCTTTACTGCTTTTTGTTGCTTTGCTTGCAATCACAAAAGAATGTTTGAACTGTCTTGCTGACTTTGTTCAAGATCTAGGTTTCTACTCTGTTACTATTATGATAGTTTACATCAATATATTATTTCTTGAAACCAAAATCCTTCTCGTAAACAAGTGTAAAAATCCTCTATGTTTTAGCCAATCGCATCCGTTTACCGATAATCCATAGCACCCCCAATGTTGAATCCCTCGTTGGGCGCTCTGAAAATTCATCCCTTCCAAAACAATATAACCAAACGCCAATTCTTCTAGTACCTGTATATACCCTGTAACCCAATAAATAAACCCCCAATGTAGATCCATGCTTAACCAGAACGCTCATGCCACGCTTTCTCAATCGCACAACTAGCCAGTCTATACAACTCAGCCACAAAATCCGCAATCATCTTGATATGCACGATTTCATTGACCGAGGACGGTTGGCGCAGGAATATCCTTTCCAACATACTCATCGCTGTTTTGAGTAGGCCGAGATCTTTGGTGGCCTGGGGGTCGGAGGGGTTTTGGAGGATGTTGCAAAAGATGGCTAGCAGGGCGGACATGGGGTAGAAGATGAGGGTCCTGAATACATCGTTGTTAGTAAAGGGTATTGGTGAAGAGGTTTGGTGGGGGGAAGAGGAACGTACCAGAATATACCATCAATCAGAACATGTTCTGATGCTTGCAGGTAGAGTAGTGTTGAACGACTGGCTTCAACGGACAGAGCTAAGCTGGAGTTGACGCCGTGCATGATTCCACCTTCTTCCTTAGACCAGTCCCTGCATCGGCCACTGGCTTGGTGGATGATTGTCATGCAAAGATGGTAGTTTAGTCGCAGTATGACGGAATGCATGTTGGCGTTTGGGTCGGGGGTTTCTTTAACAAAGGATAATGTAGGTCGCCATGCTAGAGGTATCGACAGTCTCCATTTTTCGAGCTCGTCGTCCAGTTCGCGGATTTCCTTCAGGATCTCGGCGTCCGTTTTCTTCAGACCTTTGAAGGAGTACAGGGCGTTGTAGGCTCGAGCCTTGATTATACTCAGGCGGATGTCCACTGGGAAGACTGGATCTTCGGGCATGTCTTCTGGAGGTATTTGCCGGCAGTCGAGCGGAAATTTGAACAGATTCTCACTGTAACTGGCGGGTATTGTTAAGTCACAGTTATCTTCCGTAAATAGCTGGGGCTGTCCAGTCCGAAGGGACACATCTTTTTCAATGGTGTAACCAAGCCAGAAGAGATATCGGATTTGTCTCTGTGACCTCATGGCGATCTCGTTTTGCGGCGTCTCCGGATCTTCTGGCATTGAACTAGTAGTGTGTCCACCCAATATGAAAACCATGCGTGCTGCAATTGAACCGTAGTAGCTGGCTGACTGTAAGTTGCCGGTTACAAGCTCGAAGAGTGCCTATCAATGAAGTCAGCGAATGAGAAAGTATGTTTAGAGACTTGGGATATGTGGTCTTTGTATAAGAATAGCGCAACCGACATCGATGGGCACAGAGGCCAAGCGGGATTAAAGGATTAGGACTCACCATCATTGATATCACCTGTAGCCCCTCCACCGAAGCAGACTCTTGCAAAACCTGAGGCACTAAGCATTGTGCTCTCGTGAAGTAGGTCTCACTGTTAAGAGGGGCAAGCTTTCGGAACTCATGCTCGAATTCAAGAGGTGGTACTAGAGAGGTAAAGGCAGCAAAGGCAAGCACACATGCCTTGGTGCTCACTTTTCCATACGGAAGCCTGGTTCGTGGTTGCTGATAAGCATTCTCAATAGTCTCCTTGAAAAGGACAGGATCCACAACTGGAAATATACGCCTTACGAAGGACATACAAAACAGCCTGAAGTAAGTGTCTATAACGTTTCGATCAGGCAGCTCGAATGCGCTTTCGGGATGGGGATTCATCGCCAGCGCATTGGATGTTAATGCCCGTTGTCTTTCCCACGGCGGCTTGTTGGAACTGACTAACTTGCTGAGCGCAATATTCTGTCCAGTCCGTGATTGAACCCATTGTTTGCCCTCTGGGAGCAGTAACGGAATGCCTGTGAACAGGTTGATGCATCCCAACTCGCGACCTGCGAAATGTAGAGGTACCGAAGAAGAACCCGACTTCTCATTGAAAGTCGAAGATTCTCTCGAAAAGTCGTGGGTGTATTCAGAAGAACGCGACCCTATAGGAGACTCATGAAAATCGATACTAGGTGGTGTTGCAGAAGGAGCTGTGTATGTTAGTAGATGGAGATTAGACGTTGACTCGGCATACTGACTAGGCTCCTTGAGAAGGTTCTCCGTAAGGAACTTTTCTATGCGCTCAATACGCTCGGCCAGCCCGGGCGTTTCTTTCTCTCTAGATCAAAATACACTGTCAGATGAGGCTCCAGCTACTATATTCTTTAGTAGGAGACAAGAGTTATACCCTTTTGCATCACTCTTGGCTTTCCGCTTCCGAGTAATGACCCGGTTAAAGGTACATGGAATGTCATGATGACTGCACCAATTACACTGAGGCACAGCTGCATCACATTTGATCTACAGATGGTCAAAAAGTTACTCTGAAGCACGCTCAGAGAGCAAAACCGACCTTTCTTTTGTAGCATGAATCGCAGGCCCTCGATATACGCTTCCTATGCTTCTGGGAGTCATCTTCCGACCTTTCAGCAGGTGCCGGAGAGTGATACATGTTATGTGACGTCCGCAAGGAACATATATGCCGTAGTAGATCAGTAGTCTTCAAAGGAGAAGGCAATAGCAAGGAGATAGGAAGCTGACGGATGTGCCGAAGGCGAAAAGCTTCCGACCCGCTGACAAACACGCAACTGTGGGCCGGAATTATCTGGTTAGTAAGCGGACGTAAGGATGGTCTAGACCCAAATCTTCCGACAAGAATAGCAACCAGTAATCTACTCAACGTTGCAAATTTCATTTCACGTCACTCATAAATTCGTAAGTCCTAACTAAATAGTCATGTTATACACAAAGAATAGAACTGCACTGGATCTACCAGTAGATCAGTGCAACCGTCTTCACAGGCAACATTAGGCCTCTATCACCGCCTGCTCCTCCTCACGCAACAGGTCTGCCTCGATAGCACGTCTACGAGCCTGTTCTGCTTCGCTCGAGTTATCCTTGAAGACCTGATCCATCTCTTCCAGAGACCTGCCCTTAGTCTCAGGGACGAAGAAGAGTGTCCATACGAAGGCCAGCGAACAGAAGACTGCAAAGAATACGTAGGCGCCGTATCCGGTATCTTCAACAAGCGGCGGTGTGATCAAGCCCTATTAGACATTCTTATTAGTGCTGCGCTGTATATTGCTGTTAATTCAGGGTTAACTCACAATAATAAAGTTGTTCAGCCAGTTAGAGCAGGTCGAAAGGGCCACACCCTTGGCACGGAGAGAAGAAGGAAACACCTCTGCGATGAGTTAGACAAGAGTGGCATTCCAACATTCAATGGGGGCAGATACTTACCAGCTGGCAGCGCCCATCCTACTGGACCCCATGAGCCACCAAAAGCAACCATATACAAAAGTAGAAGAGCGACACTGGCCCAACCCGGTGCGCGGTGTGCGGGCCAGTTGTCGGAGTAGAGGCTAACCAAGACGGCCACGATGATATGGCAGATTGCCATGATAGCTACACCCCAAAGTAGAAGAGCCCGGCGACCGAATTTATCCATGGTGGAAATACTGGTGATCACACCCACCAGCTGTCCCACGTTCACGATACCCGCCATCAGAAGTTGCATGCTGTAGTCCAACCCCATAGTCTCGAACAGTGTGGGTGCGTAGTATATGAGGGCATTGATTCCAACGAACTATCACCAGACTGTTAGTTGCTTTCTGGGATGATTTTCTGAGACATCTTGTTGCTCACCTGTTGGAAGAACATCATCATGACACCAATGTGCGTCCTCCGCCAGCAACCCTTTTTGAAGCAATCGGCCCAGCATGCCAGATCGAGCAAGATTGCGTTCTTGATTCCACCACCCTGCAGATTTGGGTGCTTTTCTGCGTTGAGTTCCTGATGAAAGCGAACCTCGGCTTTGATGTCCAGAAGCTCCTGTCTGACGCGCTTATCGGATGGAGGCAACTGACGCAGCTTCGACAGACTCTGCAGAGCCTCCTGGACCCTTCCTTTGGCAACAAGCCATCTTGGAGAGAAAGGCAGTACAATAACACCCGCCGATAAGATGAAACCCGGGATCAACTGCAGCAGGAAGGGAAGGCGCCATGCCCACTCTCCAGACATGTATCTAGTGCCATAGGTAATCCAGTATGCAATGACGATTCCAAGAACGATGAACAGCTCTTCCATAACCAGAAGCGTACCACGGCACTCGGGAGGACCTATTGAAAATACAGGTCAGCTGACGCTCATTGTACAAGTCATGTAACCAGCCCGGTATAGAACAGTCATAATACTCACTAATTTCGGAGATATACAGGGGAGCCACCATTGACAGCATACCAATCCCCACACCACCAATCAGTCGTGCGACAGTCAACATGGCATAGTCGACCGCTGCTGTCTGCAATACTGATCCAACCGTGAAAATGCAAACTGCGACGATGATCGAATAACGGCGAGAGATTTTGTCCGCGATCCAACCCTGGTTCATGGCACCAAGGAATGCTCCTAGCTCGATCATCGCTGTCATCAAACCTTTCCAAAAGCCGGAGTTCACCTCGGGGAAACGCTCCAAGAATTGGTCCATGACCAGGATGACCGAGACTACACCTTGATCATACCCAAATGTGAGACCTCCCAGCGTCGAGCAAGCGGCACACATAAGGACGAACGGGTTTGCTATGAGTCCCCTAATACCTGGGGGGCCATAAGGTTCCCTTTCGGGGAGAGGGTCCTCTGCATGGTGAGCAATGCCCCCTTGGATGGAAGAACGACCATCCGGGGACAGCTCCTTTGCGGGATCTATAGGCTTCTTATCCATCATGCAATGGGAAAGAGGGATAGAAAAAAGGAGGAGAGATAATTGATTCAAGGAGAAGGGATGGGTGTAGGCCCAGCTTGATCGCAAAAGCGACGCCTGTTGTCGCTATTGAGATAGCACGTGAGTTGATTTACAATTGATTTACCAAGAAAGCAAAGAGGAGACGCGAGTTACACCGCAGCTTATATAGATACATCAATTGACTACAGTTAATCCAGCCAGCCAACCAGAAGGAACCAGATGCCCAAGGAAATCCAGAGGCCGGGAAGCGACATGATTCGCAGCAGACAGCACGGTAGGATTCGGACGATTCCATAGCCATGAAGCAGAAGGGGGGAGAAGAAAAGAACCCTAAGCTGCGATCTGCAGGCCAATGTCGAATCGTAGTGTCTGGGTGAAAGTGGGCCGGCGGGCGGAGACCGTCAGGGAAGTGTGAGAAGTGGAGGTGGTGAGGCCAAACTGTGGTCCGCTTTAGCGTATCGCAGTCACCCTGGTTCGAATCCACTAGAAAAGCGCAGGCATGGGATGGAACTACATGGAAAACCGGTTTGGTCTTTAGAGAGCGAACAGCTTCTAATTCAGAGGATATATAGCCAATTTGACAAGCCCACCAAGAATATAACCTTGCTTGTCATTCCTGATACTCTGTGTCTCTAGATATTCGTTTGGTTTCCCAATTGAGGAAAGCAGGACATCCCGTGACGGCAACACGTGCGGACATCACCATCTCGCATTCCGGCCAGATGAGCGAATTGACGAAAGTCTCACTCTGTCTCACCCAGTTTTAGTGTCGGAGTAAAGCCGTCCTGTCTGGGACGCGGTTGTCTCCCAGCTACTACTTACTACTGTGGTACGGAGTACAAACCCCAGGATTACCTTTAGGATGGCTCCGCATCCGCATGGCTACAGGCCCGCTATTAAACGCATGGTCGAATGAGCTGAACGCATGAGACTGCCCCAATATATGCTCGATAAGACACCCCATGTCCTCGTCATCATACTTCAACAGCCGTGGATCATATACTGACATCTTCATGGATGATGCCTCTTCAGTCTGCCAATCACAAGGTTTTCTGGGATGTCCGAAAGCGGGTGCAGGAGGTGCCGCAGGAGCTACTTACTACTTTACTCAGTACTACATCATCTTGAACGGCGGAATGCGGCAATCGAAGCGGAAGCCATCAGGTCGAAAGCCGATCAGCGGTATTTGATAGATGGGCCAAACCAAGGGAAGTTTAACCAAAGTAGCCGTGTAGGTTACCGGAAGAAGATACATCCAGTTGTAGCTTGACTTGGCTTGGGGATGTTCGGGCCTAAAAACCCAAAATGCGCGCTTTCTTAGTTAGCAGGATAGGTATAATGGAGTAACATTATCACTGCATATCCGTCGTGAGTTGGGGATCGGTCATTCCGACCATCCAGCGGTCATGATCATGAGAGATCGATGCCTGAAGGGAGAGTCCCGTGATGATAAACCGGGTATTTCACACCCATCGCTGCCTTAAGTAGTAACTTAAGTAACTTAGTAGTAACGTTACGGCGAAAAGAAAGGGCAGCTGCCCCTCCGTCGGGCGGGCGTGACGTGACGCTCTCTAAACTCACCCCCAGAAGAGTCACTCCCCTTCAATATCTTCATTCCTTCTTTTCCTCCTCTCGATAGCCCACCAGCTTCTCATTTTTACCTCCCGTGTCTTTCTCTCGATAATCAGCAGCTGTATCTCTCCCCACGGGGATTTAAACTTCACCATTAGCTCCTGGCAAATCGGCCTAGGATCCAGTTCCCGTTCTCCTCTTTTTTCCCCACCTTGAACCTCGACTCAAACGCCGACCGTCTGCTTCGGTCGACTACCGGTCGTCTCGTCCTATCTTCCCATCTGCATCCTCTCTTCTCCCCTCCGAACGGCATTTTGTTTTGGCCACCGGTCCGCAGTTGCGACTGAGATCCCGGTTTGCTGCATAGTTTGTCATCCTCGATCCCCGACATCCCGGCGTTGCTAACAGGTTGTTGCACTATCCGTCCACAGGGAAAGAAGAAAAACTCAACAACAACAACGGATTCCAGTTTCCGACATCAACGTCATTCCACAGTTCCCCTACCCCAGAGCCGCTTTCTGTGACCCCAAGTCTCCAGCCGTTCCCCGCAACTAGCCGCAATCGCGCGTAATCCGAAATTATGGGCTCGTTTATGGAGGACCTCTGGTCTAGCATCTTTACCCCGGGTCCCACCCCCTCCCTCCTCATCGCGACCAACGTCACCTTCGCTGCCCTCCAGGCTCTCCTGTTCGCCCTCCTCCTCGCCACGTATAGCATCCACTTTTTCGTCCTGTCTGTCTTGTCTGGCGCCCTATGGTGGTCCATCAACTGGTTCGCTCAGGAGCTTAGGCAGGTGCAAGCTGAGGAGGCGGAGAAAAAGCAACAATCGGAAGAGCCTGCAGAGAGCCAAGCCAAGTCAGACGGCAGTCGGAAAACCCCGGCGACTCTCGACAGTGCCGGGAGCGATACGGAAACAGAACTTTTAACGGAGCACAAGGGTGCTGCTGCCACCGCTTCCGCTCCTCGGTCTCTTGCTGCTTCGGCAACACTTCGGCCACCGGAGGAACAAGGCGAAGTTCGGAAGCGCCTGAGCGTCAGCGGTGAGAGCTCCGGTTACCAAAGCACCGATAGCGAGTGGGAGAAGGTAGATGACGGTAAGGCGGCCTAGGCGTGCACGGGATTGGATCATTGTCAGGGATTGTTAGTACATCAACCTAGGGGCCCGTGTGGTGTCCCGACTTATTTCTTGACCATCCTGCGTCGGACATGGGCCGATACGGCCTCGTTGCCATCCACCATTTCCGTCTGTGTCCCATATAGATACCAGAGAGGCATTCTGTTTGCTGCACCGGCAAGATACCCTATAGATGACTGATACATGCCGGGCAATGGAATGAAATGTAGACCTGTTACTTGATACTTTGATGGTCCAGCAATACAGGATAGTATGACCAGGTTGGTGGCCGCGATACTTTCTTGCTTCCACTATAGCTTCTAGCAACTAAGTCCCGCGGCAAAGCTATATGCCCGGTCTTGCATGTAGTCCGGTTATCCCTTTGCCCGCTCACATGAAGAGGGTAGGTGTTGTTGATATCTCATGCAGAGTTTTGACCCCCGCTTTCAAGCTGCATGGAAACCCCGCCAGAGCACGATGGGATTGACCAATCTAGACATGCCTGTAGATATGAGAGAGAGTTGAGTAAGCTGTGCTACTGAGCAAAGGTCTCGACTCATAAATTGTGTCTCATCTGACTAGGAGGATGTACGCCATGGCCTTCTCTCCACCCACACTTAGAACGAGGTTATGGACATGCAGAAGGTGCTGTATTTGCCTGGTTGGTGTTTTGGGCATTCTCAGTTCTTTGCTTCCTTAGTTCCCAACTTGGACAGGAGAGCATTATTGACTCAGTTCAGTAAAATGCTTGATGCTGAATTCATAGTAGCACCTCGTTATATATATTTCAACTACAGATGTTTGATTGAGTTTGAAAACTGGTGGTGTCAACAATTTTTACAAAATGCGAGACACCGACAAATTTAAAACTATGTAATACTAGAATTGATAGAAGCAGCAGCTATGCTTACAGAAATCAAGGCTAAAGCTAGCTAGCTCTACATACTGAAGCTCTTTGATTGCACATTTCCTCTTTCGGAACTCTTATCGATAAGAATGTTGATCATATGACTAAGCGCATCATCCATGATGGTGCCAAACACCGGCATCAACAAACACCCCTCAAGCCATGGCATCCTGGTGAAGGAGTGCTCTCAGACGCGACTCATCCAGATCAATGATGGAGTGAGCCATTGCTGAACCGCCAAAATGCCATCGACAACCACAACCATCCACACCAGTCGCCGACGCGTTTTCAACTCCGTCCTCCCCTCCGCGTCCCTAGAAGATTTCCCATCCGCGGGCCTCGCAATCGGACCTACAACCTCTACTCTCTTTCCGAATTTCTCCTCCAGCACGAAAACCCGCGATAGCAGCTCCCAGTTTCGATCGTCAATAACATCAGATAAAACCGATATCGACGAACCATGGATGGACCAAGCGACATTGGACCGCGCCTGGCAGGTTGCGACAAAGTTCCTTGCCATCCCGGATTGCGGGTTCGATATAATCTACCGATATGAGGATATAGGAGAGGCGAAGTTTCTGCGCTTGACGAATCGCGATAAGAAACCTACACGGGAGGTTATGGACGCCCTCGAGTACTTGATGAAGCCTTTTACAATGGGATTGGATGTGACGGAGGATATGGCGCAAAGGAATATTCTGGATTGGTATGCGTATGAGATGCGGAGGCACTTTTTGAAGAATTTCAGGGGTGGACTGTACAAGGTAGGACTCACATTGATGGTGTCTCCAGCTATATGTGGTACTGATCGTGGGGCGTACAGCTTCTGAATTATCCCCAGAAAGAAAGGTTGCTACATAAGATCGTGGACTGCTTGCAGCTGGCAAGGAGGATATACTTTTCGCACTTGATGGAATACTTGCTGCCGCTTCTCGATACTTCCGATCAAGAGCCTATGTTCGTCAAGCTCCGGACGTCGTTCCACATGATGGTCGCTTATGCGTTGCCGTGGTCGTTGAGGTCTACCTTGCTGACTCATGTTATTACTACGGAGGCCTTGGTTATCCTGGGGATCGATACTTTGGGTGAGGAGAGAGATGATGAGTCAGGGAGCGTTGATGACATGGAAGTCGATCGGCAATTCTCGGTCTCGTATCAGGACTGGCGAAATGAGCCCTCTGTCGAGGCCAGGATGAGCCTGATGGCGGGAGAGGATGCGCGTGTTAGTGCGTCTCGAGAGGTCCTTCTGGTGCTCTTCGATGGGCTACAGATGGTTGGCATGGGTGGCGACAAGGCGCAGAAGGTCTTTGCTAGCGTCATGGATACCATGCTGAGCGAGTTCATTCGAGCGGCATACACCGGGCAGTGGGAAGGGCCTTCACTGGTCGTCCAGCATTTACGGCACTGGATTGAGAACGTTTTCGCGCGGCTGGTCGTGCAAGTCCTAGCAATAATCAACACTCCCGAGTCTGGGATCAGGGAACCGGATAGTCTCGATGTGAATCTGAGTGATGTGGAGAAGTGGCAGGAAATTGGTATTTCTCGCCTTGGGGCTCTCCGTGCAGGCGAACTCTTTGATATCATTGTTGAGTGGCCTGCGAGCAGTGGAGCTATCGAAGATTTACGGCACTTTACTACGTATCCGGCAGCACGATCCCATCTAACGCACTCTTTCATTGCCGTTCTCAACCAGCGATTGCTGCACCCAGGTGCATCTACTGTCGAGATTCTGCAGGTGTATATCTCCATTATACGGGCATTCAACCTGCTAGATCCCAAAGGAGTGCTTCTGGACCGGATTGCTAGGCCCATTCGCAGATACCTTCGCGACCGCGATGACACCGTCAAGGTCATCGTTGGCGGGCTCTTGTCTGACCCGGCCGATGCTGATGGACAAACTGCTTCTCACACGGACACACTAGTGGAATTGTCAGCCGAACTGACCAAAGCACACCAGAACTCGCTGCGAGCTGATAGCGGAGAACTCGACTGGGATGATATGAACTGGGTTCCCGACCCGGTCGACGCGGCACCAGACTATCGGAAGTCGAAGACGTCCGACGTAATTGGAAGCCTTATCAGTCTCTTCGAGTCCAAGGAGATGTTCGTCAAGGAGATGCAGAACATGCTGGGCGAGCGGCTACTACAGAAGCGCGCCGACTTTGACCAGGAGATGTCCGTTCTGGAGCTTCTCAAGGTACGCTTTGGTGATAATGCTTTGCAGGCCTGCGAAGTCATGCTGCGGGATATCTTCGACTCCCGCCGTGTTGACGCCGTTATACGCAATGACCAAGGATTGAGCGGAAAGCGCAAGGCTCAACTGCCAGTTACTCCTGACGGCAGACGAGCAACTGAGGATGACGAAGACATGCCAGAGCTTCACGCCAAGATCCTCTCGCACTTCTTCTGGCCTGAGATTCAAGGGTTGGAGTTTAATGTTCCAGAGGAGATTTCCTCGCTCCAGCAGCGGTACGCGCAAGGGTTCGGATCGCTCAAGCAGTCGCGCAAGCTCACCTGGTTGAATGGACTCGGACAGGTCACTGTGGAGCTGGATCTCGAGGACCGCGTGTTCATGGACGAGGTTACTACCTGGCAAGCCACAGTGATCTACGCCTTCAATTCTCCGTCGGATGAGGCCGTGACCAAGACAACGGATGGACTCGCCAGCGAACTCGGTATGTCGACTGCACTCGCGCGCAGCGCATGTCTCTTCTGGGTAAGCAAGCGTATTCTCGTGGAAACACAGCGGGATACATTCCGAGTCCTGGAGGTCCTTCCGAGCGAAGAGGGCGATGCATCAGGCGGAGAGCCTGGGCTACCTGGTGCAGGCGATGCGGAGGACCAGTCAGCAGAATCAGCACAAGCAGCAGCCGAGGCAGATGCAGCGGCGGCAGCGGCAGCGAAGGAAACGGCCGAAGCGGCGGCAATGGAGAAGATGAATCTGTATTGGCAGTTTATTGTGGGCATGTTGACCAACCAGGGCGCAATGCCACTGCAACGGATTGTGATGATGCTGAAAATAGCCGTTCCGGGAGGATTCCCATACAGCAACGAGGAGCTACGAGAGTTCCTAGCCGGGATGGTGTCGAAAGGAAAGCTGGAGATCATCAGCGGAGGCAGCTACAAGATTGTGCAGTGATTGCATATTATATCCATCCCATAGAAGAGGCAAGCTTGTATGAATTACGAATAATGAGGTACATGAGGTATAGCAAAACTCTCATAACTAATTTAACATGGTATTGAAGCTAAACGTACACATTACAGACATGAATATCATCGAGTCATTTTGACCCGTTACTCAGCATCCAAAGGAGCCACCGGGGCCTGGTCATCGACCTGGATACCACCTCTCTTCTTCTCATTGCTATCCCAGAACGGCAGCTTCCATCCGCCCTCGCTCTCCGGCGTGGCCAACCACAATCGCATGAGATGGCGTCTGGGCGTAGGCGGGGCGTGATCAACATAGGCCGTGCGTGCATGCAGCACATGGGAGTTGGCCAGGAACTGAATATCGCCGACTTCGAGGATCATGTGTAGTTTGACGCGGTTGCAAGTCGCCTCAAGGACCTCCAGAGCTTCAACCTGAGCAGCCGAAAGCGGAGGGATGATTCCAGCGTCCGAGAAGCGAGTGAGAGAGCGCACATAGTAGGGGTCCCACCTACAAAAGTATCAGCACAGTCCTTCACTCATCAAACCGTCGAAGGCAATGAATACATACTTGGTATAAACCCGAGGGTTCTCGCCACGCTCCAGATAAACAACACTCGTCTTGATATACTCCTCCTGTCCTGTGCTCGTCTCGCCCTTCCGATCGAAATACCAGATGGGCTCTGTGAGAGTCTTGAGCACATCCGGGCGCTCCTTTGCCAGGACATTATAGACGTTGTGCGAGGAGCACAGGTCAGATTCACCTCCCTCCCTGGCACGGTGGATGCAAAGCAAGCCAACGATATCGGAGTCGTCTGCGTGGAAGAATTGTCTACACAATTAGCTACCCTCTCCATAGATGGCACAGAAGCATCAGCTGGAATGGATGATACACACCTAGCATTCGTGCGATAAATCCGCACAGAATCAATCTGCGTCGGATCCTCGCCCAGATCCTTCACATGACCGAGCACATGGCCCCGACTGTTCTGGCTAACAAAGTACCCGAGGTACGTGCCGAGACCCATGTACGCGACAGCAGACTTGTGGTTTCCCCACTTCTCAACAGGGAAGCCCTTGAAGAGGATGAATCCCTTGCCGTCGAGGAGGTCGGCGCGAAGTTCGTGCAGGCGGGCAGCTAGATTAGGGAGGGGGAAGTTGCTCTACCATCGTCGTCAACACATTCCCTTGATACCACAGAAGAACCAACAAGGGTAGTAAACAGGTGGCTTACCTTGCTAATACCAGTCATGGGAATCTTCGCGTCCAAAAACCCATCCGCAGCAGCCGACAACTCCTCGATCTCCTCCTCCGTGAACCGATGCGTCCATTTCTCCGGGCTATTGCTGTAATCCTCAGGCTTCCAGACCGTGGGGCCAGTAATCTCCTTGGGGAATTTATCGAAGGGGTGAATATGTTCGTAGAGGGGAGGGTGTTGACCAGTGGTTTTGAGTCCGTCAGGGAAGACGTCTAGGGGGATATTGGCGGGTTGTTGTTGGGTTAGGGCCATGATGGAGTCGGAATTCAATAGAGTAGAATAAATAAATAAATAAATGAGATCTTATCAATCAGATGAGATTGATATCAACGCCAGTAGTAGTGGTAGTAGTAGTGCAGTAATTAATAAAAGAAAGTAGCTGCAAGGAAAGGATACACCAGTAGTATTTATATACCCCTCATTCCAGAAACCTTTCCCCCCCTCCTCACATCCTCATCATCCCACTTTACAATGCAGACTAACCAACCAACCCCTGGCCTTTGAACTCGCCGAGCATATTCGGAACGATAAGCGATGTAACCATCAGTGGAGGGGAATTGCGTGCGCCGTGACTATACGTTGAAACCATCTGCGACTTCTCATAGGAGGAGTGCGCCGCGGGTGTTGAGTCGGCGATCACGAATGTTGATTTGCCGATGGCGCAATCTCGGCTGTGGTTGTTGTGATGTCCGCGGGAAAGGCTTGTGATTGATTATTGTTATGCTGCGGATTGTCTGATTAGTTTGTGAGATGGATGTGAATAGTGTTAGTTCTTATATTGTAGTATATAGTTTGTTTAGTTAGTTGGTGGATGAAGATGTATTAATCTTAGTATCTACTTACTATTAGAAAGACGATGGCTGGTGGATGGATGGATGGTGGATGGATGGCTAGACCATGGAGGGTCGGGTATATGAGGGGGATGATCAGCGGAGAATGTGCCGGTTGATCGGTAGTAAGTAGTAATTACTATTAAAGATGAATTTCTCGGGCGAGAGATGGGATAAGTATGATGCTTATGTTTCTCATTTATTGGTGGTGTTTTGAGATGATGGGGTCGTTATGAAAGTGGATGGGATGAGGGCATGTGTTTCCTGATCGGGTAGTAGGTTCTTTGGTTGGTTGCGGAGGGATGGTACCTGATTATGATTAATTGCATATAAGTTGCATAAATTCGACTAATCTGTGATTTAAATACATCTGAGATAATAATGAGAAATGGTGCTTTCAATAAATTTAGTCCATTCCCATGCAGATTGAAGAAGGTGATTGATTTATTTTTGTCTACTACAGTGCCGGTTGCTCCGCAGTAGTATCAGGCAAGACAACAGGATTTTTTGTATCATTATAAAACAGGGGCTAGTCAAATACAGGTTTAGTGTGATTTGAAAAGAAATATAGGACAAAAAGTATATACAGTTAGTCGCAATCCTGATATGGAAACTATGCTAAAGCAAAGGCAGACAAGCTGTTTCCATACAATTATTTTATCTATCCTATTACAGTGACATCTATCACAACAACAGGTTGTGTAGTGTAATGGTTATCACTCTGGATTCTGATTCCAGCAATCCCGGTTCGATCCCGGGCACGACCTTTTTGACTTCCTTCAAGTCGAGATGTCCCGACAGTCTCTTCTTTTTGCTCTTCACCTTCTACTACTTTCCTCTACCGAATCTACTGTATCATTCATAATAGTCAACAAGGAACAAACCAAGCAATTGAACCACAGTCTACCACCTAACCTACTGTATACCTACTGTATCCGCGAAGTATATGGCGGGGCGGCCGCTGACAACAGATTCTGCCACCCTTTGAAGGCGGTCAAAAAGTATACAGAATCGCAGCTCACTTTTTCGGAGCTGTTAAAAAATTTAACCGTCTATATCCGCTTATTTCCGCACTGTTCTCTGCGAGGTCGACGAGGTTCTGCCGCTTTTGGCGGTAAAACGAGCGGTCAGATCAGGCAGTACATTGCTCCGCATGACGTTGAGGGGCCATCCATGCCACTGTGTACCACTCCGTACATCAAAGCAATCCAGGAAATAATCCTGTCTAAATGAAATGCCTTTGATGTCCTTTGTATATATCGTGCACACTCCGTGTCTACATCCCAAATAACCAGATACCTACCCTCTAAATGAACCATCTACCTCTCCTCGAATGAGCAACTCAACCACAACTACCTAGTAGCTATACTACCCGATGGCTGACGTCCTGCGACGAAGAGGAATATACAAAACTACTCATTGGATACATCCGCTCTCGCAGGGTTAGTATCACCCATTGATTCTTTGACTTCCATCTCGTAAAACAGGCACTCTAAACCGCAATAGCCCTAGGAATAGCATACAGACAAACCTCCCTGGAGACGCTGTCCGCAAAGGCCGGAGTAGCGTATAGTTATACAGTAGATTTTGCGGGTACGTCTATTAAGAGAAGGGTGAGTTTATTCCTCTCCCCTTCCTTGCTATCAAAGGTAATGCTGAGGAACGATGTTATTTGGCTATTAGTATCCCCGTGTCGTTGAGGGGAGGATTCAGTGAGTATACCTAAGTACTACCATGATTATCCAGACCACTCTAATTGGTATATATTACCTTGTACTAATGTACATATAGAGGAACAACACCCCACCTCTCAAGCAAAGACAAAGCCGACGGCCAGAAAGTCGTTACGGTTGGATTCCATGCCCGGAATGGAACAAGATATCTCTCCATCCATGCTCATGGCGACGGTACTTGGAAGGAGTTTCTTTCAAGGGCGGGAAAGGCTGTTTTGCGTAAGGAGAGGGATGGATCTCAAAGGAGGGCGATGCAGGGGAGATTGAGTAGGTCTTCCTGCTAGTGGTTGTGTTTGTGTGGGGTTATTGATTTAGCGGTTGTATTTGGCGTTGGCATAGCTTCTTGTTTGTTTCACTTGTCTTCTTTCTGACACACGTCCGTTTATGTTGTGTGGGTATTTAGACTTGCTTATGTGTGTAGGAAGGTGAATGAACCCATGAGAATCATTTTACTGTGTATGATACTTTCTTATCACAATGGATCTAACATAGCGCACGTCAATAGATGTCATCCGCAGTAGTAGTGACTACTACACAGCAGCGCGTCCCATGTATAACAGTACGATCCAAGCAACATCCATTGCAACTCACCGTGCAACATCTCTAAAAGTAGACTTTGCCAGAATCTCCATTCACTAAGCTCCGGGCTATAGCCTCGGACCAGAGAGAACGCCAGTAGTATTGGTTTGCGTAGCGTACTATATCCGCAGCAGGAGATAATCCGACTAGGAACAAGTTCGAAAACCTGGTCAAGGTTATAATTTTGACTTTCTATATCTTGGACGGTGGCTGGGATGAGGCGTTAAGGTTATCGATGCGTGGGTTACTTTGATCAGGATGATGCTTATGACATGCTTATCGCTTAATGCTGATGGAAGAATGACTTGTGTTGCCTCTTTATCCATATCGATCATTCTTTGGTTCAGAAAAGTAGTTCCTAGTCTGGTCCGCTGAGTACATGGATGTCTATAGTGAACACCTCCAACTCGGATACAAACCTGGTAGCTCCCAATGTATATTTCACCCATGGAGTCATGGACCCTTTGAATAAATCCTATGGGCATGATATAATGACAAGCAGTAATTAAATGTCATCCCAACCCAAATCGCAATAACCTCCCCGAACCAGCGAGCTTCAACCCTAAAGCGGCGCGCCCGCATCTCGATCACCTACCGAAAGAGGCAACTCGATCCCCAGGGGTCCGCGGTTCCACACTTTCTTTCTCGCCTTATCAAAGTACCAACTGTTTAGATAATGGTTTTGTATCAGACGCATCTACCCCTCACCACTCTCCGAAACCCCTCAATAATCCCATAACGCACGCACGCACGCACGCAGAACACTATGAGAACCCAGAAACATCTCCACATCGCCGTCCTGGACGTCGACGTCCCGGTTCCGAACGTCTACTACGCTCGCGGTCTTTATAGTACCCAATTTCGCAAGCTGCTTCGGGCTGCTGCGGGGCGAATTGCAGAAGGTGAAGGAAGAGATGAAGATATTGAGATCCACACCACTGCGTTCGATACTCTTGGTGGTAACTTGCCGTCGCTAGCTAGTTTGAGCACGCAGCCTACTGCCACGGTCACCAAGGCTGGGGAGGTTATTAACCCTCTGGCTTTGCCTATCACCGGTATCTTGATTACGGGATCAGTGGCGTCCACGTATGGTGCTGAGTACCAGTCATGGGTTGCACCGTTGCTGGAGTTCATTACCACTGTGTATGAGCAGTATCCGCATGTGCGGATCTTTGGAAGTTGTTTTGGCCATCAGGCGCTTGCAGAGGCTTTGCTTGCTGGATCTGCTTCGGCCAATGAGGTTAAGGTGGGATGTTGTCCCGATGGAAAAGAAGCTGGACTGGCGCAGGTTGAACTCACAAAGGGGTTTGTGGACGCATTTCCCTGCTTGAGGGGAAAGCGCGCGTTGAGACTGCAGATGATTCATGGGGATTGGGTGACGGTTGAGTCGTCACCTGAGAAAGCGCTTCCCTCGCCTTGGATGAACATTGGGGGATCAAAGCCTTGTCCTATTCAAGGCTTGTATTGTCCAGGACGTGTTCTGTCCTATCAAGGTCATTTTGAGTTCGACTCATTCGTTAACCGTGAGACATGTGTCGACTTTGGAGGGAGATTGGGGTGGGCGAAAGAGCTCGTCGAGCAGTATGTGACGGCAATTGGAGACGTGGACGGAAACGGTGATGACTCCAAACTAGCCGCGGAGGTGCTGGTAAGATTCTTTGCGGGTGAAGATGGTGCGCATGACAAGCAACGCATGATCAAGGCACAGGATGAGAAGAGCATGGGCGTAACCAGATTAATTGGAAGTCTGGTGGGCCAGTTGATGGGTGGGAGCTGGTGGTCCAGCAAGAGAGTGGAATAGAAACTCTGGAAGTATTGGAAAAGGATGACGACACCATCTATTCAAATCAAACTACATCAATGTTCAATATATTCGTAAATGCGACCCATGTAAATCATCCAAACATAAACCAAAATTGTCATGATCAAAACACCAATGCCACCATGTAGTATATATACCCGCCCAGCGTTGTTGTATACCTACCAAACACCCAAAATCCCGGATTTTCAAAAGATTTCCTTATCATGGCATGTGAGAATCATGGTCGGGCCAGCCCTTCAATAACTCGTTCCGAGATATAAACAGTCAAGGGCGACATCATATACTCATCGACCACTGGGTGATTCACGTGCCTGGCTCATGTCATTGCTCCATAATTTTGAGTAACCGTGCACCCTCAAAGCCATTAATCGTAACATCCGTAAAACATAAAATTCGATCAGAAGCTCACCAGAGTGCGCTTCACTCTGGAGACATCAAGAATAAGGGTGTATTCACCTGAAGTCGAGCTGGAAAGCTTTCCATTTTCCACCCACAGTGCGGCAGCGAGGGCAGCCTCGGGGACTGGGATAGCTTGTTGGTCCATGCGACATTGCGCTGCCTGGACTCGACGTCACATTCCTAAAGGAGGCAGGCGGACTGCTGATGAACAATCCGACACACTCTCGACACACGCCACAGATGCACTCCGTACAGGCGTAGCATTCATTCAAAGCCCACGGGCGTTTGCAACTGGCACAATAGATTTGGATCTCTCTGTTGCGGTATGACGCCGGTGTGGGGTTTGAGAACCGATGATGCTGGCGCTGAGATGCAGAAGAAGGATACATGTTCAATACCGGGCTAGACTCGTTGTTGGAGGTGCTCATGTGACTTGAGAAAGCGTAGGTTTTCCCTGACGCCGTCGATGCCGAATCTAGCGAGGATTCAATGGAGGGAAATGGTTCCAAATCACTATCACGACTGCGTGCGGTGTCAAACGGCGGCGGCGTTAAAGACTTGTGTAGCGGTGACGCCGCATAGGCGTGAGGAGGGAAAGGCCGATGAGAGGTCGGTGGCGGCAGTCCAGGTGAGGGTTGAAAAGCCGGTGGTAGCGATGACCGGTGATTGCCGACCGAAGGCGCCGAAGTGATATTGGAGATCAACGGGGGCATTGTAGGCGACCGACCAACCTGTGGCTGAGATTAGCACATGTCTGAGCTTGTTCTGCGGAAAAAGCAGGCACATACATCCGAGTTGTGATCGTCATCCGCTTCCGTGGCCGAGGTAGCTGCCTCAATCAAATCTTCCCAGCGCTTGCCTTGAGCCCATGCGGCAGTCTGTGGTTCCGCAGAAAGCGCCTTGCGATCGCCCAGACTAGGGCGTCGGCCGTATTCCTTGGATCTAGTCCGCTCATGCTTCGGTTTTCTAGCTCTAGAAATGGACGACTTGCGAGGACGAGGAAGCTTGTCTCGATGCTGGATGGGAGGCAGAGTGGAAGAGCGACCGGGCGGGGAGTGCGTCAGAATGGACGGGAGAAGCTCGCGAGGACGAGGGGATGAGAATGGAGGCAGCGAAGCCTCCTGCTTGAAGTGCTCCCTCAGGGAAGGCAGTTCAACGGATCGCAAGCGGTCTCGGTCATTGTCCGAGTGAGTCTCCTAGCGCACCAGTTAGGCAAACTTGCTTTTCTACTGCTCACAAAGTAGTCTAGCATACCATGTCCGTATCCCAGTCGGAAGCTAGACGGTTGTGGTGCAATTGCGCCAATGCGACGGCGGCGGTCGCTGCCGCGGGGTGAGTCTCGTCAATGCCCCGCGGGGTTGCCGGAGAGCTAGCGTCAGCAACGTAGATATCCCGATCAGCGATTTCTATAGCCAGTCAGTTGACGTTCTTTGAGCCACACATTCCAGCATGATGACCGACCATTGCGTCGCCGAGATGGAGCTTGAGTCGAGGGAGATAGATGAGCCCGTTGGTCTGGAGGGGTGGTCACCATCAAGATGAAGCTCTCCTCGGTCGCCGGGAGCTTCGGAATGTAGTGGTTCGGGTGGGCTCTCCGGATATGCTCCTGCATGGAGCGATAGCGCTTCTCCTGAAGGGCAGAACAACATGTTAACCACAAGCTTCAGGCTTGGATAGTAATGCGACAGATCATATTATTTTTTTTTTTCTCTCTTGCGCCGCACTGGTCCTCGCAGAGGCGCAGGCTGCTTGCTGACCATTGCATGAAAGTGGGGCTCGGATCGATAGCGGGCGGGAAGAAGGAGCAGGAGGGAAAGCTGAGAGGGGGGAAAAGGCGAGCTGAAGGAGTACTACTCACACCCAGACATCTCTTCCGGCAATTGGAGCCATCGTTATTCTTCAACGGACACACCACTTCATTATTGACGTCGGTGACCGAGAAGGAGCTCGTTAGCGATGCTCGCGGCGGCATGGTCTGCATGGATCCGTCCTGGCGGGGTGGGTTGGAGGGTCAAGCCAGCGAGCCAGCACAAGCACACAAGCAAGCTTGAATGGAAGCACTGAACTAGATAGTAATAGATCAAGATCAATTCGTTAGGGCACCGTCAACCCTCCCAACGCATGCTCCAATGTACAGCGCAAGAAGGAGAAGGTAAAGAAACGATGAGTATGTCAAGCAAGTAATTTGGAGAGGCGAAAAGATGAAGGAGAAAAAGGATCGGGGAAGAGGTGGAATCCGTGGTCGAGAAAGCTAGACGGCAAAGTAATAGAGTGTATGAGTAATATGGAGATAAATTCGCCCTAGTTGTTGCTGTCCAGGCTGAGCTATTCTTTTTCGGAGCCAGTTGCGGTAGTTACTATCAATGTAGTAAGATTGTAATGTACTCCGAAGCAGCAGCAGCAGCAGCAGTACTAGTAGTAAGTAGTAGTCAAAAGCACGTCCGGCGTAGTGGCAGGAAACTAAAGCATCACAATCGAGGAATCGGTCAGGTCCAGGAAGGGGGAGGGGGGGGGGAAGGTCAAGGTCAAGGAGCTAGGCCGAGTACAGGTCTTGTCCAGCCAAGCTAGTCTACGAATAGGCTAGTGACCTCGAAAAAAAGAAAATTGACAGCCAAAGGATTGGGGGATGGCAAAGACCCACTAGGCAAAAAACAGAAATCTGACCTAAAAAATAAAAAAAGGAAGGAAAAACGAGAGAAAAAGTGAAAAAAGGCGACCAGCAGGCGACTTGTCTGGAGGGGAAAAACGAAAAAAGGAGGGTGGGAATGGTAATCCACTTACAAATTACATGATTTTACATACAATACCAAGGAAAAAGTCAAAGAATGATTGAAAAGAAAGACAAGAAAAAAAAAGAAAAAAAAATTGGAAGATTTAGTCCGAAGCACTCCGACCGCGTGGCTTGTCCCATGTAGCTTGGACTGGCTAGGATGATCGGAGGATCCAGGATTAGTGAACAATCCAGAAAACGTCCTCGTGCATCAGTAACTGGACTTGTAGGTCTCGAGGCGCTGGGATAAGGTATCACGGAGCACTGGATCGGGTGACACGATAAGCATACCTACTACAGCCCGTACCGCGGATGAGAGGCGAAAGAAAGAGGGAAGCTCACGGGCAAGATAACGGACATCCGAAGGGAGCTCTTGAGGGAGATTGTAGATATTGGTTGGCTTGTTAGCTACGCAGGTATCCAGAAGTTATTACTAGACTGCTTGCTACATGGAGCTACGACGATAGCTTGTTAGCCAAGCAGCAGGAGAAAAGTCTTTCAAGCCATTCTCATCCGATCAATCCCTATGAGGCATTATCATCCTGGTGGTGATACAGCATGTGCTCGTTCTTGGTATTACGATTTCGTACCGCAGCGGTATCTGATGCCGATTGCGCCTATCGATAAAGTGTGGGACAGCGCGATATCCGCACACATGAATTTCGATCCTCGCTTCGTCGCGAACATTACTCTTTTTGTAGAGTATATTTTTGCTGAAAAGATACTAATTAGTATTTCAGACTTTACTGCTTTTATAGCAGTATAAATATGTATCACTAGACAGTCCATTTTGTACAGTGAGGCACTGTAGAAGGCTTCGGATCCGGATCTACTCTGCTGATAAGTCTCTGACACTTACACTCCACTGGAGCTTAGAGCCGGGTCAAGCTTACATTACATTACCGGAGCCAAAGGAGGGGTGACATGGGGAAGGGGGCACTGCCTTCCTAGTTGGGATGGCGGACACCTCCGTAGCTCAGTCAAGGGTATAAGTTAAGGACATGGCTACTCGGCAAGGACTTCCAGCAGCAATCATCCTATATGATCCGTGCGATTCATGTCCGCGTTTGAAAAGGGCAAACAGCTGAACTTTGACTGACGGGGTCTTTGGTCGACCGAGACTTCCGTCCCTCAGACAGATGCAGGTTGGCTGGCTAAGCTGGTCAAATACCATACCATACATGCATACATACGGTATGGTAACGATGACCAGCACTTCGGGAATGCCGGTGGAACCCCTCCATTCTTGAGGGGGTTGCGACAGCTGCAGCATCAGCATAATTAGTATTGACTACGGATGAATGGGGGTTGGCCTTGATGGATGATGACCGATACAACACAATGGTCACATTGCTCGCAGGTAGTCAGTTTAGGCAATTCTAATGGGTTATTGTAGAATCACGTGGTGAGTGAACAAGCTGGGCATCCGGCCATGTGCGACCTACCCCTCATTGTTCTGGTTCATTTTCCACCACCACCACAACCACCAGCTCTCCCCAGCTCTAGGTTGAGCTTCCATGCAACCCAAGCACAAGAGCTCCCAGCTGGAGCTTTCCAGTGGAAAGGGCCTAAGACCAAAGCAGTTAGGCCACTAGTGGCGAGTCCAATTTAGTTTAGCGCGACGCCACTCCAGTTCCTTATTCCCGTCTGAGTGGGGCTCTCGAAACGGGTGTACCTTAGCAGGCGATGGGCGAGAGGAAATTTTTCCATCTTCTCGAAACAAGTGGCCACCGCTGATTCCATGGGAGGCTGGGGCAAATCGCTGGCTAACTGTGTCTGGACTCTGGAAAATCCCCCCGATGCTGATGGCTATGCGGAATTCCGCTTTCCGGGAGAGGAAAGAAAAAAAAAGGGGTAAAATAGTTACTACTACCCTGAGACCTGGGAAAGACAACACCCATGACCCGGTGATTTCAAGGGACCAGTCCAACGGCCGAGAAGAGTGGTGCCTCGGAATCACACTATCGCAGGTCACCGGTGTGGAGGGGTTGATGCCCAAGTTGCCCTTAAGCGAAACTGGTTGCCGTGAATTCCCGCGCTTAGCTGGAGTGCACACAAGGGAGGGGAAAGCTCCGTCCTTGTTTAAATCCTGATCCGTTGGCCGTGCTGTCTTTGACCCTCTCTGCCACTATGGATACTAAGTCAATGGTCAAAGTAGTGGTACTTTGTCGGGGCAAAGAAAGTCTATGCACCTGCACACGCGGCTAAGAGGTTCTAGCTCGGCGACATGAGGGGACGGCCCTGCTGTAGCCTGCTTAGCTTCGGTTCGACACCTACGGACTTCAGCCGATATGGTTGATTGTTCCCCCCAGCCGCTAGTCTTGCAGAGGAATGTTCACGACAATCCACGGCTCTAATTCGATATGCAAGGAATAATGCCTGTTCTCTGACCTGGTCTATAATCCACATGGTTGCCATTGGTCTTTCAGTTGCTTTACCAAAATCCTCACCGACACAGAGTTGGCCTGGAAAAGGTTTCGCATTCCGTGCGGAGAAAATTCTATTCTTGGAAAAATGAACCTCCAATTGCCCGCCAGTCAGAGCGTGCGGTTGACCCTTGGGTTTTACCATAGCACGAGTCAAGGCTTACTGCGATGTACGGCCGTACTTGGTAATTAGTGTGTCGCTGACCATGACCGTGGCTTATGGCCGAGCGGGACTTATACTAACACTGGATACTACATAACTGACTACTGTAGGACAGGTAGAGCTGACAATAACATTGACAGTGCTATTGTTTCTCTGATCCCTTGCATTCATTCAGCCAATACCACAGCCGATGCTCATGCAGGACGATAGGTACATCGTACTCCTCGCAGGGGACCATGCATCGTGCCAACAGGAAGAGGTTCCCAAGCCGCGGTCTCTGGGGGAGCCGCCTGCATTGGTGGCGCCAAAAATTGCACATCGAAGCAGCAGCAGTTCTGCCGGCAGCTGGTCACTTTCCTTAATGGGCATATTGCAGTGCGCAAAGCATCATGATTGGATGGTTTGCCAGCAGGGGATGATGCACGGTACCCAATTAGAAGCCGGCTGATGGGCAATGGATCGTCCAATCAGACCTTGATACCCTTCTGCTTACTCACCCCCCACTTCGGCACGTTTTTGTTTCCATTCCCGTTACAATTATTACCATACCGTAACTAAGCATTGCCCCCCACGGATGTTTGCCTGGTCTGGTTCGCTTTGCTAGCCACAATCCAGCCTCCCATACTTCCTCTCGTGGGATGCCCCCTTTTCATCAAAATTTTCAAAAAGATGCATATCGATCCATGGAAATCGAAGTGCCACCATCGAGATTCAACTCGGGGAGTATCTGGGGAATTTACGGAGTAGGAACCCGTATGTCTGGTCATTAAACCGATGAAGGTCAACAACGGCTATCGGCAAACCGTGATATGTGCTATCCCACAGACGATATCTTCATCGTGGATATTATCAATCATAGTCGCACTGCATCACGGCCAACTGCAGCGTATACATTGGCAGTTGCAAGACTGCCGATCGCACTTCTAGAAACACTGGCGTATCTGCCGAATGGCAGTGCCTTATACTTTCCATATCCGACCATACTATACCAAGACAATGACAGCATCACATCGCACAATCGCACGTATACCGGGCTGACCTGCCTCATTCCTCCATCCGAGACAGACAAAGAAGAAGAAAAGTGTGCCAGCCTTGCCGCAAAGCTTGTATAGCGGTGGCCGTTGAATTGCGGGAGCGCACCTACCATCGGATATGGCACGTCACACAACCACCGACTGTAGTCCGCAAATGAGGTGTAGCACCCTTACAACATTCCTATAATCCTCCATATAAGCTACCAACTAGCTCCGATCACTTGCAAGCTTGTTTGCCGTTGCCGCTTATAACATCACCCATCAGCACCACTCGACAGCATCATGGAATAGTCCATCGGCTACGGCGCCAGCAGTGCCGTATATCCGTGTCCGATGCCCCACGGGGATCAGCCAGACAGCATCCGATGGACTCTGAGGTCACTGTCTCCCTGGTACCGACGTGCCTCATCAGCATCCGACTCTCCGCGCCACGCATCTCAGCAATGACATCGTTCAAAACAAGCTATCTGTAGCCTCTAGCCTTAGTAGATAAAAGACCTAAAGAGCCCTGGCCGCTGCTAACTCCCCATCACTTCACCTCCCACCTCAAACCAACACCCTTTCCAATTCATCTACACC